TTCGCTGTACAAGTTGAACAGAATTGGTGATAAACAGCATCCTTGTCGAACTCCTCTTCCAATCTGCACACTTCTTGTCTCCCCTCTGTCCAGTCGCACTCTAACTTTCTGATCCATGTACAATTTACTAATCAATCTTCTTTCACGCCAATCGATACCTGTTTCCTTTAGGATCTGCATTAATTTAGTCCAGTTGAACCAAATCATGTGATATAAAGTGGCATTTGCATTCTGCAAGTTTCATACCCAACTAAGACCATCTTTTGTAATGCAGCAAATTACAGTGGCATTCTAAGGAGAGAAAGAACGGGCTAAGTTGAATGTAGGGTCAGGATCCCTGTAAGTACGTGGATCCTGTCTCATGTCTAACATAATTTGTATTTTTCCTAGTAATTTTGGTGTTTAATTTCACTGACTAAACTCTATTAACTCATCGAACAATTTAAATATGAATTAAATTCTGCTTAAAATTAATCTAATTCACGTTTTAGAATAATAACACTTCCGAACGAAATTAATTTTGTTACATTGCTCCGTTTATGAATATCCTACGTGAGTGTGAGGCTGTGGCTTACTTAATATTTCTTCGCTTGGGTCATTATTTCGAGCCAGGTGACTATCAAGACGCCCCTTTAATTAAGGTACTACTCTTCTTTCTAACTGCGGGATTATTGAAGTGCTGAAACACTTCAATGGATCATTGATGGTATCGGTGCAAGAACCGGTCAAGGCTTATCCCTTATTCATTCATTCATCCCGTTTGTGAGAGCCGAGTGTACCCCATGGGGTTAGGTGGAAGAGACGCATGAAAGAATAAAGTAGGATAGAGTCCTTGTCCGTTACAAATTCCGGTGGGCTATTCTTAAAATAAATAACACTTATGAAAACCGAAGGTACCACAAAACACTACAAAATTACCCTTCGTACTAAAAGAATTGTGTGAGAATTGCTCTTGATCTAAATGTTAAGGTCTATGATTTCTGAGCAAAATATTATATCATGCACTTCATAATTACGAATCCTGAATGAAATGAATATCAGAATATTAAAGGTCACGAAAGTTTGGCTTACTTTAGTATTTTAAATGCCATACTTATAAGAAATTTGAAATTACTCTTGAAATTCAAAAGACATTGCTTTCCTCTGAAAAGCGATGTAGCGATGTGGGAGAGATTTCCTTATCGACATTTTGCTCTTTGTGATATAGTGAACGTTTTGAATATTTTAAGAATTCCTTGCCCTCGGTTGGAATAAAGTTTTTATAAATATACGTAAGAAGTAGAATATTAAAAGCTATTGAGTAAGAATTATGCGCGGACTTGTAATATATTTCCCATTATGAATTAAATATAAATCTGTAATGGCTACTCTGTTCCTAAGTCGCTAGCAATGCAACGTGTTATTCGCATTTTTTATTGTCTTCTACTGTCAGGGCATTTCCCTTCATGCTAGGCGTCCTACCGTCTCTCTTAACCCTTTTTTCGCAAATGCGTGACGGGTGAAATTGCATTGTTCCTGGTGACACTGCCTTGCTCACGAACTGGCACGAACCTGCAAGTTCTTCTATGTACAATAACAACTTGTAGTGTTAGTCTCTGTCATTATGAATACACCGGAGAATGGAATAAACAAGAAGTGGAAGAATGAGGAGCAGAAGACGACAGAGAAACATAAGTAAAAGGTGAGAATTAAAGACCAGAAAACAGAGATGAACATCATTAGAAAGAGAATAAAACACAGGACATTTTTATGAATTTCATATCATTTCCAATTTAGTATGTTCCTTTAAACATCTGGGTATGAAAAGGTTGAAAAATGTGGAAAACCTGTAGAACAGATGAGGCCAAGGATATAGCACAAAGAAGGATACTGTGTACGACAAACAGGTCCTGCTACGAGAGGAATGCATGTTCTCGTATGTTCTGTCTGAAGCTGAGGGTGTCATAATTCGTTCCCATATAATGGGTGTTTTTGTGCTAAAGAAATGCTGTACTTATCGTTATTTATGTGGTGCAGGGGGCACTAGAATTCCCCGAATATAAACCACAATTTTCAAACACGGCTCTAATCTCAGTGTCGGCTTCCAAGCGTGTATCGGGCCATATTTCCATCATGTCTCTTCATGCGCACGCGCATATGATGGGTTTGGTCTTGTCCTCAGCCTTACGTACGATATTTATGGAAACTAAGCAAAATATAGGCCGATAACAGTGGCCGCGGGCCTTAGGCATGAATTACTTTTGCTCGCTCGAACGCTGGGATCGTGGGTTGGAATCCCATTCAAGGCATGGATGTCTATGTACGTTCACTCTGTGTACGTATTGTTGTGTGTGTAGGTAGCGGCCTTGCTTCGGGCTGATCCCCTATCCAAAGAGTCCTACCGATTATTTGTAGATTAAGAAACTGAAAAGCGGCCAAGTTCAGACATAGGGCTGTAGAGCCGTAGTTAGACAAAATATATAAAATAGTGATACAGTGTGCGGTAATTTAGCGCCCAAATGAATATGTATTTAACAGGAGTAGTGAAACTTTCAACGTAAATGTAATAGATTTATATTTTATTAATGAGTGTACTATTTTGCTTATTCATATTAGTAAGTATGAGTTCATATACACGTACTACAGTACGGAAATATATAAAGGAAAAAGTAAACATCACCCTTCTATATATAAAATATTATTATTATTATTATTATTATTATTATTATTATAACGTAGTAAAATCTTATATTGTGTAGTAAAACTTACCATCCTATCCTTATGTGCATATTTGTAACGGTGAGCGAGAGCTATGTACTTAAGCAGATTTGGGTTACCACAGCAAAGTGTCATTGAGCCTTAACACATTAGATGACCGTAATTTGTGTAGTACGTCATGAACGAGCAAACAGTCTCTTACTGCAGTGTGTCGTATCAGTTCTGGGAGTATTTATAATATGTTGAAGGGGATATTTGAAATGTAGTTAGTATTTATCATGAAATGTGATTTGGTTTGGTAAGATTTTGAAGGAATCTTTCCCTTTCAAGACATAAAGTAGAAATTGTCTATTGGGACTTCTGATTAAGAATAGCTTTCTGTACAAGCCTGCAACAAATATGATTCGTGTAATAATAGTTTTAGTTGACCCTTGATTTCCGGGGTATACGGTAGCGTAGTTGGTAGAGGGACCATGCTACAAGCCGGAAGGTCACGAGTTCGATTCTCAATGAGGTCATAGGATTTTTTTAATGACCTAATCCTTCCAGCCGCACTATGGCCCTGTTGTCGGCCAGGAATCTTGCTGGCGGTTAAAGGACAGCCGGCGTGTAAGACTGACAACCATACCGCTATCAGCTAGCCGATTGTCTAAAAACTATGGGAGCCTCTACGTCTCACAACCCTATTGGCCTTCTCGACCTGTTAGAGGGATAGCTTCAGCTTTCCCTTGATTTCAGTGTTCCATCCTCTAATAATATAGCAATATAAATCCCACAGAAGGTTGCGGTTGAGGAAAAGCATTCAACGGATTTCGATTAAATTTAGCATCAGCTACGTACGGTAGATGTTATCGGATGAATTTATGTTTTTATTCGTATTGAATTAATATTGGCTCCACTTTAACGACACCCCACACCCAAATTATCAGTTTTCTCAAAAATGGTCAACAGCACAGAAAGCTGTAAGAACGAAAGAGAGAATCAAATAACATCTAAAATTTTTATTTGAAACTCAAGGCACAATAATTTGTATATCAATAAAAAATATATGTGAAGTCTTGATTATTTTTGTAACAGTGTACTTGTGTTTCCTTAAAATTAAAATTAAGACCAACGTTTTCCTTTCTTTCTTTCTTTCTTTCTTTCTTTCTTTCTTTCTTTCTTTCTTTCTTTTTTTTCAAAATAACGAAGAACAAATTCGAAATAATCGTCATGGAATACGTACATTTCCAGTTCTGCTTTACTACCTTTATATTTTCTGTGATTTGTTAAGTTTTTACATTGCGATAAGTTTGTAATATATAAAAAAGTAAATATACATATATAGTGCAAGATATAATATAGGTTTGTTTCAGTTTGTCGTATGCGTTTTTATTAATCTTGAGGGCAGTAGCTGTTTTCTGAGCGCTGCATGTCACAAAGCATATTGCAAATTGAAGCTAATCAGCATTTGCATTTTCCCAGTAACTCGTACATCAAAAATATTTTAAATTCGAAATTAAATATATAAGCTTATGTGCAACATTTTCTTGGTTTTTTGACAACTAGACTAAGTGAGGTGCAAGGAATATTATTTAGTTTCAGATGTGGAAACTAATGAACTATTGCCAAAAATTATAAATATATATTTAAGTCATTTTTGCCAGTCGCTCAAGTTTAAAATTCTATTCATTCAGATTATAGCCCTCATATTTCTAATATAATGAGGTCAATTTGCGAGTAAATTGACAGGAGATAATCTTGTGATTTGACATCAAACTGACGTCAGTCAGATGTGGACCACAGAGGATATGACGCTAAACTAAAAGTGTGTAGTGATAAGTTAGTCAACTTCGCAAGTTACGATATAACTTCACAGTCACTCACCTGCCACGGAGCAGCGGCCCTCCGCACAGATTGCTCAGTCGACGCCTGACTGCCGAGTGCGCGAGCGATGCTAGAGCTTGTGAAGGCGTCGGTCGGCCATGCGCCACAGCCCCATCCCCTGAAAGCTGGCAAAACAGATAGACGTGTGTGTGAGCAGAACTGAATATAATTTTGGAGCCTAAGCTTACAGTTATCCTCAGTCCAATTCATCATTGAATTCGGGTAACGTTTCCTGCTTATTTAGCTTTGAATGAAATCCCAATGCTGAAGGAAATTGGAGAGAGGCAGGTCTGGGGACTCCAGCCAGGGATCATCATTTTGATTATAATTATTTTCATCATAATTCAATTATACGCATTCAAATAATGGTGAACTAATACCTTCGTTATGCATTCAGAATCCTACCTCTGAGAATCTGGTATAAAATACGGGTCTGTAAATCCTAAGCACGGGTTTAATGTCCACAATTCAGTATGCCAGTTGTAATATTACATTATGTTAAATTGATGGCATTTCGGTCCACACTCGGATAATTTCTTGTACGAATACCTTCTACATACCTCACTCAGATTTCTTCAAAATCTCTAGGCCGATCCCCCCCCCCACATCCATCCTATTATACGTTTAGTATAATCTCTCGAAATTGACACGACATCATATAACAATCTTTCTGTGATAGTTCATGTAAGTAAAGCTATCCCTGTAACAGGCCTTGGAGGCCCATAGGGTTGTGAGATGTTGAGGTTCCCACATTTTCTAGACAATCGGCTCATAGATGGCGTTAAGGTTGCCAGCCTTACGCGCCGCCTGCCCTTTACCCCCAAGAATATTCCTGGTACTCATTTCTGTTAGAGGCTGAGTCGACATCAGGGCCATAGTGCGGCTGGAAGGATTAGGTCAATTGAAAGAATCCAGTGACCTCATCGGGACTTGAACCCGCGACCTTCCGGTTTGTAGCATGGTGTCTCAACCAACTACGCTACCGCGTGTTGATAGTTCTTGTTGCAGTTTTAATATCTGAGGAATGCTAAGTTGGGCTGTAAGTGGAGGTGGTAGGCACCCCTAAAGCGTCAGTCTGTATTGTAGTCTTATCCCAGCATACTACAATCTAGACGTAAATAACGTAAATAACACACCTGAGGATGGCACAGTGATGCCGAAACATGTAATGAAGTGACACGTGAGATTGTGTGCACTAGAAGACGGTCAGTACGTACACATTATGGACTTCAATCTAGACATTCACCTCGTGAATACTTCGAATGTGATGCCTTGACACTAGTCGATCTTCTCTTTTTTCCTGTCAGAAACGTACTGTGTCCTTCCTCGTGAAAATATTTTGACGAATTGGTACACTTTCTGAAAACCTGGTAGGAAGTTCGTGCCAAGCGGGACACACACTCGCAAGTAACCATTGTATTTAGTTGTCAGTGTTGATCAATATGTGACTGAAGTTTTGTTCAGTACTTCACATGTTCATAAATGGTTGAATATCAACTTAAACACGTCGTCATACCTGTAGTTGCCTGTAATCTGTACAAGTCTTGTAAGAGTTCTCAACTTATTGTCCTACCCATGTCAATATCTGCAAGACCGCGCCAAGGAAAATTTGCAAACGACAATGCAATAATTGATTAGAATGGAACTTATCAGGAGATAAAAGTAGATACTAATGGATGTTTAGATATTGTCGATTTTAATTTATTTTCCTACTTTCATTAAATTAGAAGACAGAATACACTTATGTTTTCGTGCCCGTGTACATAAGTCTGTCCTTTATAATGAGCTTTGAAACAATGGACGTATTTTCATATCACTAAGGCCACAAAATTTCCATGCATTTTAATTAGGAAACCTTCTCATAGCCACAAAATTCTACTCTTTAATTGACTCTATATTTTAGTTCTAAATGTTTAATGGCACAGCATAACAATCTATTTTGGTTAACTGTCTCGAGACTGTGCATGGGGCTTACGGATTTCGCTCTGATAAATATTTAGATACTAACATTAGAGACAGGAGCAGAAATTCGTACATGTCTTTACATAAACTGTCTGTAATTTTGTCTAATATTATCCAACATTTCAATGTGACAATCAGTTTCGGTGAAAATATCTAATGTCAGTTTTAATGAAAAGAAGTTCAAGGGATCTCGAATTGTGCAGCGTGGACAAACGAGAGACGCACATGGAAAGGCTGACGAGGGCTCACAAGGCCTACAAACAGCTGCATGAAAAGCAGATATTCTTTTTTCTGTATTATAAATATATTTTATACACCTAATTTCAAAATATAAAGTAATTCACATATACCCTGAAATAAATTTATTACTTTCCATGACTCTGAGCCAAAAGATATTAAAATATTTACTTCTTAATAATGCGAATTTATTTTTTGTTACTGCTCTAACACCGGGTGCGATTCCATATTATATTTAGGACCTCCGATGATGGTCCGATTTTAATTTAATTATGAAATTTTTAAATTGTAAAAGTGTTTTAGTTAAATGGCTACATTTATGTGATCCGAATTTCATGTAATAAGACAAAAGGTAATGATTTGTAGCCGGTCATGGCAGATGAGAGGTCTAGGGCATGAACTGTCTTCGTTCACTTGGAAGTTGGGATCGTGGGTTCCAGTCCTACAGACTGCATTGATGTCTGGTGTATGTATGCGTTTATTCTGTGTTTGTGTTGTCCTGTGTTTATGTATAGGCCTTGCTTCGGGCTGATCACCCGTCCAAGGAGTCCTACCGTCTGTAAAATGATCATGAAACGGATAAATCAGCCCTATGCTCCAAAGTGGGAGCGAAGAGGAAGAAAAAAAACAATTTTTAGAAAAGGCGCAAATTGATTCTGTTGTGCCCCAGGTTATTAATGGGTATGCCTTTTCCTAACAAGGGCTCAAATTTATGTTTTATTAGTTAGAAGATAATTATAAGTTTTATAAATTTAAATACGTCGGGCAAACCACAAGTTGGAAACCCGCCGGAAGCCAAAGTTGAGACGCCGTACATTCTTTAGCCATCCGGTGTCAGTTGTCAGTCTATAGAAATTGCTGACAAATTAAATGACGACACGAGGCAAGTCTCGCCACCGCACAGTTTGCTGACTTAGGGGTTTTGCGCGAGCAGCTTTTCGTGATGTTGAATTTTGAGGGGCTCGGACGGGAGGAGCCGCGAGCACTCTGACTCAGAGATCAGAACTCAGAACAGTCGCATGGTAGGAAGGAAAGGCGATGGAGTCGGATGTCTTCCTCTTTTGCAAGCGTGAGTACTTGCCTGTGTTCGGATCACTGATGATTGTCGATATATGATTCTGGTTCAATGAGTTTGATTGATTAATATGTTCTTAGGATAAAATTGGTTAAATTATTTGAGCGTATAAACCTTGGAGTGTAACAGAGTAATTCTGATTTATTGAGTGATGGTTTAGATACAAATATCTGGTTTAATATATTATGGACAATTAAATGGTAGGAAGTGTGAAACAGGGGATAGGTTCTGTGTTGTAATGCTGTGTTATTTCATTATATATTACTTTATTGTTGTTGGTGAGTACTCGATTTATTTGTGGATGCCCCTAGTGCAGCATGTTTTCCACCGCACAGGTTAAGAGTTGTCTACGAAAGTCCGATAGAGTGTGAGTACAGTCACTGACCCCTATCAGGGCACAACAAATTGGTGGTAGCCGTAGGATATAAAAAGAAATTTTTGTGTCGCAATCGTGGCACAACAATTCTGCAATAGGCAATGGAATTCATTGTCCACATCAACAGATCACTGTCTTTCAGTAACTCCAATATGAAACTCCATATTCACAAACCTAGTAGGAAACCTTTCTGCAGTAAAACTCTGTTAGTTAAACAACAAGACGGATATCTTGAGACTCTTCCGCCATGTCCTGACCACCTCATACTTCAGCTTCAATGACCAGTTCTCTGAACAAACCGATGATGCGGCGATGGGCTCGCCACTCTCTCCGATCATCTCTAACCTCTATATGGAGGACTTCGAGGAGATGGCACTTGACTTGACCCCACACAAGCCCCGCTGCTGGTTTCGCTACGTGGACGACACCTTCGTCATCTGGCCACACGGTCCCGACAAGCTCAAGGACTTCCTGAACGACCTAAAAGTATCCACCAGTGCGTTCAGTTCACAATGGAGACTGAAACTGAGGGCCACCTCCCCTTCCTGGATATTTACAGAGACCCGACGGTTCTCTGTGCCATAGAGTGTACCGCAAATCCAACCATACAAACCTCTACCTTAACGCTGCGTCCCACCACCAACCTTCCAACAAGCAAACTGCACTTTCCACATTGGTGCACAGAACTAGAGCTCTTTGTGATCAAGACAGCCTACATGCGGAGTTGGTGCTCCTGGGGATGTTTTCAGGAAGAACGGATACAACAACCGGCAGATCCACAGAGTTAACCGTCGGCCCAACATCAGCCGGCCTGAAGATAAACCGGACTCAGTCGCCTTCCTGCCCTATGTCAGGACTATATTCAACCGTATCAGCAGAGTGCTGTCTCGGCACAACATCAAATCAGTGGGCCTGTCTCCAAAAGAATTATCTAGTTTCCTCCGGTCGGTCAAAGATAACCTGAGACTAAGGACACTGGGTGTATACAGAATCCCCTGCGAGTGCGGCAAGCTCTATATTGGGCAGACGGGCCGTTCCGTGGACACGAGGTCGAAGGAGCATCCGTCTTGAACATCCGGACAAGTCAGCTGTAGCTGAAGAGAGAATCGATTTGGGACACCGCATTCAGCTTCAGAATACCTCCATCCTCGCCACCAAAACCCGATATATGGATTGATTATAATTTTAAACAAATTTAAAGTAATTAATTACTCATAGAAAACATTAGCCGGTCGCGGTTGCTGAGCGGTCTAAGGCATGCACTGTCTTCGCTAGCTCGCAAGCCGGGATCGTGGGTTCGAATCCCACACAAATCATGGACGTTTGGTGTGTTTATGCGTTTTTTCTGTGTTTGTGTTTTCCTGTGTGTAGATAGAGGCCTTGAGGAGGGCTGATCAC